TTCAATAACCTATTGTGCGACAAAGGGTTCAAAGTGAGCGCTGGCCCCTTACATGAAGTCGACTCAGCTGGCAAGATCTGCATCGCGCTTCTCGAAGTGTGCGAGTCTTTTGTATATAACTGGACGACCGAGCAATTCAGTGACTTTCGCAATATTCAAAACACAGCCAAGAGCCTCCTGTGGATCACCCGTGGCGCCAACAGATGTTCTACCATTCCCCAGAACGCTCCTGTCATTGCGCTTGCACGCACGATCTTGTCCGAGGATCCGCAAAAGACGATTGTCACTCTCGACTTGGCCGAGGCTACTCAGCTTACTTCGTCTACCCTCCCAAAGACTGTGTGGTCTGTCCTTGCTTCAATGTTGGCTGGATCAGCGGAGGCTGAGTTCGCGGAAGAAGGAGGCGATCTGTACATCCCCAGATTGATGCCCCAGGAAGAGCTCAACAGAATGATCGAAAACGACTCTCATATCGAGGTTGTCCAGAAGCCCATCTTTGACCATTCAACAATCAGGGAGAGTTACAATATGACGTTTTCTGAGCCAGCAATTTCGAATGATAACTTCCACTTCATCAAGACCTCGTATCCTACAAAGCTCGGCCCTCAGGAAGTCGAAATCCAGACCCTCAGCGCGGCCTTGCATCTCTCTGATCTCCACACCGCCATGGGCCGGACTGATGATAACATCCTCGGCATCGATATTTTGGGAATCGTCAGCAAAGTCGGTCGCGATGTGAGGGACATTTGCTGCGGAGAACAGGTCGTAGCACTTGTTCCCGGCGCTTTCAAGACGGTTCACCGAGTCCACCAGGGCTTCGTCAAGCCCGCGCCGCCACCGTTCGAATGTTGCCAGTACACTCCAAGTACTCTCATCGCTGCGTTTTATGCAATTTTAGGCGTCGGTAGACTTTCAAAGAAGAAGACGTTGCTAGTCCACGCTGCGGCAAGTTCTTACGGTCAAGCTGCAATTCGCATTGCCACCCTGATCGGTGCCGAGGTTTTTGCGACGGTCCTGGGAAGCGACTCTGATGCCCAGCGTGAAACTCTCATCAAAGCTCACTCCATTCCAGATGACCACATTTTCGACGCTAATGGAGAGTCTTTCGTTGCCGATGTTCTCCGATTCGGAAAGGTTAACATTGTCTACAACCCCACCCAGGAGCACACTGCCATCAATTTCAAATGTGTCAAGTCATGTAAGTCTTCAAGTATTCTTACCTGGTGCGAAGCTAACATTACATAGCCGGCTGCATTTTCCAGCTCTCCGACAAAACGGGCAAGCCTGTCAGAGGTCCTGTTGCTACTTCCACGATGTTCATGCGTTTCGACGTTGCCACCATGATGAAGGATGACCCTGACCTCATCAAGGAGTTCTTCACCATGGTAGATCGCTTTGCATTTGACTACTTACGCAAGAGCTCGAGCCTCCAGTGTCAGCCGGTCCACCGATTCCCCATGTCCAACCTTGAAGGAGCTTTCAAGCAGATTGACAAAGGACCTTACCACGGTCTTGTCACCATGACGGCCGACCGCGATACCCTCGTCCCTGTGGCCACAGAGACGCAAATCAAGCCGCTTGACGATGTCATCGACCCGAAAGGCACATATATTCTCGCTGGTGGTCTAGGAGGCTTAGGAAGGAGCATAGCGAAGCTGCTTGCCGACAAAGGTGCGAAGAAGCTGGTGTTCTTGTCAAGATCTGGCGGCAATCAGGATGCCCAGGATTTCCTTCATCATCTCAGCAAGTCAGGCGTCCAAGCAACAGCAATTGCGGTAGACATCACAAATCTCCAGGCACTCAAGGCACTCGCCCCGACTCTTGGCAAGATCTCTGGCGTTGTTCAGTGCGCTGCGGTCATTCAGGTCAGGATCCTCACCCCTTTGACTTGAATTTTACCATAGACTAACAGACAGCAGGATGCTCTATTCGAGAAGATGAGCTTTGAAGACTGGCACACCGCCTTCGCTCCCAAGGCAATCGGTGCCATCAACCTTGCAGACGTCTTCGGCCGAAACCCTCAGCCCAGTCCCTCGACCCCGGCTGCCGCCCCTTGGTTCCTCTTCCTCTCGAGTGCCTCGGGAATCATCGGCAACCGGGGCCAAGCAAACTACGCGGCGGCCAACGCCGTTCAAGACGCCCTCGCTCAGGCTCTCCCTCGCGCCGTCTCCCTGGCCCTCGGTCCGGTCCTCCAGGCCGGGATGCTGGTGGAGGACGAGGAGACCCTGGGGAAGCTCCGCGGTGCTGGGTTCTATGGAATCCGGCACGAAGACTTCCTGACGATGGTGGAACGGGCCATCACGGGGGAGGTCACCCCCGGCGTCCAGACGAGGCCGCAAATCGTCTCGGGCGTCGGCACCGGTGGTCTCATTCGCCAGAACGACCCCGGCGACCCCTTTTGGTCGCGCACGGCGCTCTATTCGTATTTGAATATGGTCGACGTGCCGATCTACTCTCCGGAGGGGGATCGTGATGATGGCGGCGTCTCCAGCGGCGAAGCTGACGTCAAGAAGATGCTCGCCGTCTGCTCCGGGGCGGAGGAGGCTGCGGTCATCATCTGCACCGGCCTGGTGCATTTGATGGCCAAGGCCATGTCCCTTCTCCCGGAGGAGATTGATCCGAAGCGGGCGCCCAGCGCGTACGGCGTCGACTCCCTTGTTGCTGTAGGCGTGCGGAACTAGATTTTCCGCAACGCCGGGGGAGTCGATGTCTCCGTTTTCGAGATCCTCGGGGAGACGTCCGTTCGGGGCCTAGCTGGTGTCGTTGCTAGCAAGGGCAAGTGGTGAAGGGGAAGGAGGGGGCCAAGTTCCCCAAGAAGACTGGGGTGTTTGTGTGTGTGGCTGTCCGTACGAGACGAAAAGAAGCAGAGTGAGGTGGCCCAATTCAGTCGTACAATGGAGGTGTGGTTGTCCGTGTGTGAATGAGAGGACACAAATGGGCGAGATGCGTGTTTTGTAGGAGGGACCAGATAGATCAACGCTTTAGAGGTTTCTGGGGCGGCTTCTCGTTTCTAATCAACAATTAACTGTTCTGGAATTATGCAAATGATCAGGCGGAAAGTAACCGTGTCCCTAGTTTTCAAAGATATCACAGTAAGAGGAAACTCCCAAGTGCTTGTAGTAAAGAGTAGTCCTATCCCAGCTGCTGAAAATGAGCCAAACGTACCTCGGTTTCGATGAGCGAGCGAGACACGAGACGCCGCTGAGTGAGTATTTCAAGTAAATTTCTTCTCCTATCTTCATTGAGTTTGAAAATCAAGTTGTGAGGTGTAGGCAGTAAGATAGCTATGGTATGTCTTGTAAGGTGGCAAGAACAATCTAAGCCACAGCTTTATGACAATACTCAGCACAAGGGCGGCAGTTTACATTCAATATTATGACCGCCTGATTGAGGAGAGGCGGTAAAGAGTCCTTTCATGAAAGCAAATGAATTCTTGCTGCGTCTTTCGAAACATAGTCATATACCCACTGGTAAATTTAAGGCTTGCTCACTTAGTGCGCATGCCGAAAATCTGGCTGGGCAAAGTTGCAAGGCAGGATTTAGGCTAGACATATGCCTTGGCCTCTAGACTATAAGGCATCTTGGGTAGGCATGCAGGCTAATAGCACGAAATTCGTGAAACAAATTACACGATGAGAGATTCGATGAATACAATGCGACGGTGTGGTAAAACAACGGGGAGCAAACCAAAGGCCTGTGCCTTATGCGAGCCTAATGAGTCAACAAATAAGTGCAATGAGCAGATGGGAGGCGGTTGCAGCCTGGGGCTGACTGCAGGTATCCGTGTCACCGAGACATGTTTGAGTGAGGTCAAGAGTCGAAGAGCTTGAGTAGTGGCATTGGCTATAATTCAGGAGCCTCAGTGACTACTTGGACCACGTGTAAATTTATCTTAATGTGAGAGGGAACATTCCTCAAAGAAGGCTACCGTACCTAGTCCTCGAGTGTTAGCCTAAAGAGCCTCAACGTCAGGTCTCATCTTTTATGAAGTACCCCAGACACATGTGGTCAACTGGTGGGCACACTGATAAGCTGCCTTGTTCAGACCGGTGAATCCAGACATTGTACTTAGACCAATACACCAGAGGGCGATGCAATAGGTAAACACACACCGAAAATACTGGAATGGGGCTCTCGAGGCAGTCATGGTAGGATTGGTGGAAGGGAAAAGTGCAATAATTGCATACCTGAGTATGCATGCGTGGGCCAGAAATTTGTACCCTTGAAAACACTTGGCATCGTACTTTCCCCAAGAGGCAAACGCATCCATTTATTGGGGGGGGGGGGGGAGTCGGTACGTACCTGCCCTGTAGGTTCCTCAAAGTACACTGTTAATTCAGTCAACAACTGCCACAGTGCCTCGATGTCCATTCCGCGCTCCAATTAACGCGTCGCGCTATTCTAAGTGACGGACATGACATCAAATACTTTGGAGGAAGCTGCGATAAGATAAGGAAATCACCACTGCAAGCAGGACCGAGAGTCTACCTTGCCTCTGCCTAAAGGTACCATCTCGTTGCGCCTGGATGATGAATATTGCCGACCTCATGCTTTACCCTCATCGCTCTCGCTCAGCAGATCAACCAGTGATCAATCAGTGGCCAAACAAAGATTGGGAAGGCAGCGACGCCTTTAGTCCTTGCTCACAGCCCTTGGAGCCGAACAATTATCGCTCTTTCAGTCTCTACGGCAACGATCTTTCCATTTCCATCACAACTCACTTCACTCTGCCGACAGAGACCGATTTCTTCTAGACGACAGCACACGGTACTTCTACCACTTCGGCTCCCGACCCATCTCCGACAGCCTGCTGCAGCACAACATAAACCTCTCCAGCGCCCAGCAGATGTTGCAGCACCGCGCCACACACCTTTTGACCTCATCGCCTGCAGCTCGCCTCATTTGAGCGAGGAAAGGGAAACTTCGCCCCGCCACCGCCGTCTTGCCCAGCATCCCACCGACCGACCGACACTCACACTGCGTTTGCGTAACCAACAAATATGGACGACGACCCGGCTGCCACCCAGGCCCGGGACAAGGAGGCACTTAGGAACCTCGCCAACGAACTCCTGGACCTCGAGGGTGAACGAGACTTTCGACAAGCCATCGCCGAATCTCTCGCCGACGGGAACCCGCGAGACTACGAGAAGGCTCTCCGAGAATACGATTCGGCTGCGAAAACGATTGATAGCAAGACACTCGAGAAGCAGCGACTGGAACAGCGGATTCGGGCGGCCAAGAACTCTGCGCGCCAGTCAACGAGAGACGCTACATTCGGAGAAGACGCAAACATGAGAGCGGCTAGGGACCGCTGGGGAGTTGGTACGTGGATATTTTTATTTTGCCGAGTTACTGCGAAGCCTACCCAAAATGCCCAAGTTTTTCACTTGCGACTTATCCCGATTTCGGCCCCAACTTCTTCAAGTGAAGAAGTCAGCCATAGTACAAAAGCGATTAGCATGCCAGAGGTGGAAGGACGACCGGAAGTCTGGCCTGTCTATCCATCATTCCGTGGTCATGACAAGCGTGTTGGCCGATGGGAATGACAGCCTCAGGCTTGCTAAGGTAGTTTGAAAAACCTTGTGTTTTTCAAGCTACTTGATCGAATTGCGAAGAAGTAACGAAAACGTGGAGCTCTCATATCTATGACTGTCCGAGATCTGGGGGCATAAGGCAGGCAGTGTTCTCAGCGCCGCTCCTGCCTTCCCGAAAAAACCCAGTCTTGCCTTACTCCTGCCTAGTCGACGCCTTTCTCTTCCTCCTACGCCTTCCACAGGCTCACATCATAAATAACCTGGGCCTTTCATATTTCACCCATTCCTCACCCAACTCTCTACACTGGCCTGAGCTCCATCAAGGACCCCCGCCTTCAGAATACCTGTCTATTATTGATCTTGTCATTACCGTCTGGCCCATCCCAGACAACCCCTCACACCTATCCACGATCGAACATGATTTCGATCTAGCCATATTTCAGCCTACCTGATTTATCAGTACCTTGGTCACATGGAACACTGATAAAAACCTCTGTGAAACTAACACTCTTCCAGCCAACGTCCCCTACAGACCATCTCCCGGGTCCCAAAACGTCTCTCAGGAACCTTCGAAAAACGCATACGCTATGCCTAACTCGGGTTCCGCTCTTGCCGGCTCGGCTTCCTGGAACGCTTTTGAACCGCCTGTGCCCAATCTAGGTAGTTCGACAAGTCACATCAGTCCGTTCAACAAGAAGAGAGCATTTGGTTCCGGATATGAGTCTCTTGGCCAGGCCAACTCAGGCCGGAACAAGTCTCAGCGCATAGATGATTCGTCTGAAGTCATCGACCTTACTGGGTAAGTACAAAATATGTTCCACTGCTGGGTTGAGCTTAGGTCTGGGCGGCAAATGACTCTTCGTTTTCTGATGCAAGGACTAACAAATTTGGTAGGGACGATGATGATGTACACACATCGTTCATGTCGCGCTCAAAGCAAGCGGAGGCACAGGAACGGGGTCGTAGAATGGCCTCAATGGTACGCACTCCTCGCAGTTTCTCTCAGGCCAATTCATACGACGCCAGGCCTCCTTATCCTCCTCCTGTGGTCCGCCAATCCCCAGGCGCATATGGCACTGGATATGCCAATGGGCTCAATCCCAGCATTGGCATTCCCCAGGGATATGCCAGCGCGAGCTCTTCTTCGAGTATGGCTTCAACCCCTGGCGGAGATTTTATGCCCCGGATGCCGGGTTCTTACATCGACGAGGACGACATGAACCTTGGCTTCACGCCGGCTAGCCAGATGATGAACCGTCAGCTAGCCAATCGGAATGGATATCCTTTCGGCAACAGATCTTCTCTCAGCACCTCTGATGTGATCAATAGAGCTAACAACTACAACTTCATGGACCTTACCGACGGCTCCGGAAACCCGCTGGATGCTCGCGTTGTCTCCTTGATGGAGGACATTAACAATGACCCTCGCAGATCCAAAGAGGAAGTGGAGGCACTTCTGCGGAATGTGCACGCCGGCATGGACATCCCCGAAGAAGATCGGGAGGGAACTCCTGAAGCCATGAGATACCCTCTTTATGCGCACCAGAGAGTTGCGTTGACATGGATGAAGCGCCAAGAGAAGGGCACTAACAAGGGAGGTATTTTGGCCGATGACATGGGCCTGGGAAAGACGATTTCTGTTCTGTCCCTCATGGTGTCACAAAAGTCGACCAAACCAACATGCAAGGTAGGATTGCTCCCATTCAATTTCATACGCTGCTAACACCCCCTGACAGACCACTTTGATTGTGGCCCCGTTATCCCTGATTCGACAGTGGGAAGATGAGATCAAGAAGAAGCTCAAGAGTGGCCCGCCTCACGCCTTGACGGTATACATCCATCACAGCACTCAAAAGACGAAAGCCCAAGAGTTGATGAAGTACGATGTCGTCCTGACCACCTATGGGACCCTCGTCTCAGACAGGAAGAAGTATGCTGCTTGGCTCAAGGACTTGGATGGACGTCCTGCGTTGACCAAGACCGACCCCAACTTGGCAAGCTCTGTCTCCCTGTTCCATCCAGACTACTCGAAGTTTTATCGCATCGTTCTGGACGAAAGCCAACAGATCAAGAATCACAAGGCGCAGGCGGCTGGGGCCGCTTCCCACCTGCAAAGCGAGTATCGTTGGTGCCTATCCGGTACACCGATGATGAACGGCGTCGACGAGCTCTATTCCCTCTACAGATTCCTGAGAATCAAGCCCTACAGCGACTGGTCTAAGTTCCGCGGCGCCTTTGGAGTGCTCTTCGGGAAGAAAGGTGACCCTCAGGCCCAAGCGATGAGAAACTTGCAAGTTCTCCTCAAGGCGACTCTTTTACGCCGGACCAAGACCTCGCAAATTGATGGAAAGCCCATTTTGCAACTTCCGGAGAAAACCGAGGAGGTGGTTTACGCAGAGTTGGACGAGGACGAGCGCAAGTTCTACACTGATCTAGAGACCAAGTCGCAGGTGCAGATCAACAAGTACCTGCGAAAGGGTACTCTCGGCAAGCACTATTCTCATGTATTGGTGTTACTTCTCCGCCTTCGTCAGACTTGCTGTCACCCACATTTACTTCTTGAAGCAGACGATGCAGTGCCTGAAGTCGATGATGATATGCTCAGTCGCGTCAGAACTTTATCTAGAGCGGTTGTTCAACGCCTCACTGAGAAGTCTCGCGCTCTCGAGAGTGCTGACGCCATCAATGAGGGCTTTGAGTGCCCAATCTGCTACGACATGATGCCCGACCCGACTATTCCACTACCCTGCGGGCACGAACTCTGTGCGGGATGTCTCAAGCAGCACGTTGACAACGCTAGGCGTGAGAACATTAGAAATGGCGAAGACGAAGGCCAGGTCAAGTGCGCTGTCTGCAGAGGCACGTTAGACCCGACGAACATAATCACCTTTTCAGCTTTCAAGAAGGTCTACATGCCTGATGAAGCTGCTAGCGGAAGCTCTGAGGATGAAGAGTCTGAAGGCTCCGTTTGGAGTAGCGATGATGATGAGGAAGAAGAAGAGGAGAAAGACAATGCCGATGCAGATGACGCCGACAAGAACGGCGATCTCAAAGGCTTCGTCGTTCCTGATGCTTACGCTAACATTAGTGATGATGAGGACGAGCTGTCAGGGTCTCCAGCGCCAAAGCCCAAGGCGACCGAGCCCAAGAAGAGGAAGTCAAAGGGCGAAATGAAGGCTGCAAAGTCTTCAAGTAAGGAGTCGAAGAAGAGACTGAAGAAGATTAAGGGCAGCCAGTTGGCAACGCTTCGAAAGAATGCCAAGAAGAATGCTGGTGCCTGGCAGGACTACACAAAGTACCTGAGTCACCATTGGCTTGCTTCATCCAAGACGAGAGCTTGTGTGGAACTTCTCAAGAAGATTCAGGAGACAGGCGAGAAAACAATCATTTTCTCCCAGTGGACTATGCTGCTGGATCTTTTGCAGGTCGCGATCAGAAAGCAAGGTCTAAACATCAAGCATTGCCGCTACACAGGAGAGATGTCGATGGCGCAGCGTGATGACACTGCTTTCACTTTCTCGAACGACCCGAGCATGAAGGTCATGATGGTGTCACTGCGCGCCGGAAACGCTGGTCTCAACCTCGTCGCGGCTTCGCAGGTCATCATTATGGATCCTTTCTGGAATCCGTACATTGAGATGCAAGCCGTTGATAGAGCTCACCGCATTGGCCAGCAAAAGCCTGTGAAGGTGCACCGAATTCTGACTCAACAAACGGTTGAAGATCGTATCGTCCAGCTTCAGGAGAAGAAAAGGGCGACGGTGGATGCAGCTTTGGACGAGCGTGAGGGTGCGAAGTTGGCTGGCCTCAGCATGACTGAACTGCGTTTTCTTTTCAATCTTTGAGAGAGGATTCGACCGATCTACATTCGATTTCACAATCCAGTTCCCAGTCTCGTTTGTGGAGGTTCACAACACAATCTCTGACTATCTGGATCGGAAGTCAATTTCTTCTGTGACTTTTTTGCACCAGATCTTGTTCTTTCTACGAGGCGGAGGAGGCATTTTTCTAATCAATGGTCTTGGGGGAGGTATTACGAATCGTTTACGACTGGCATTTTATTGCATCCGCATCACTACAGTGAACAGGAACAAGGGAAGGGGGAAAGCATACCCATGACGAAGACATGGGCACAGAAGATAGGCTTCACAGCCAACACCACGGAAATGTGACTAGGATGGGAAAGGGGGGGGGGGGGATATTTCCTCCGGTCACCTCATCTTCTTTCTCTTTTCTTTTGTTGTCACAAATCCCATGAGGCGTCCAGGGTACAGGTACAGGGCCAGGGCTAGGCTCAGGACGATACAGCTGCCTTTCGGTATGCGAAATTCGTTCACGGAAACAGAGAAGGATCGCTAGATCGACAGAGATCACCAATACTATTGCTCATCATGAATTGTGTGTGACCCTGCAATAAATATGTGCGTGATGTATCCAGGCTGGTATCAACGGTCCCGTTGATCAACGACACGGGGTCGCTCATCAATTGTGAAGGCTAGCCCAGTAACAAGGCTGGCAGAAGTAGAGAAGCATCCTGATAATTATCGAGTATGTTGTAAACGACTGTTGTTATTGATGATAGCGGGCGGAGCTGACCACCCTACCTTAGCCTCGTTACCACCATGCATCCTTTAGCTAATTAACCCTCCAGGCATGGATAGATGACGAGACTACTAGAAACACCGGGCAATATAGTTCCGTCGAGAAATGAGCCTCCCCAATGATCCCGAAGCACGAAGAGGCGCTTCTCATTCGCTTCATTCGTTCTTTTCGCTGTTGAGGAACCAAGCCTTGACCTCCTCCCTACAAAGGCGGACCAGGATAGTCTCCTAAACCTCTCTGGACTGGACAACAGCGGCGACGATGTCACTGACATGAGGCTGCGACGACGATAACGACGGGTCGCCACCAGCCGCCCAAGACCAGCGCTGCAGGAGAGGCTTATCTCCCGCGCGCCAGGCGGCGCCAATCTGCAGCGTTGGCCGGCTCTCGGGGCCGCTGTTGAGGATATCGAAGCGGATCTCGCGCGTTTCCGTATCGATGTCGCGGATGGCGGTACCGCGGACGGACTTGATCCACTCCGCCGGGGCGGGTTCCGAAGGGGGCGTAGACGGGTCGGACGGCTGCTGTGGCGGGGGGATAAGGGACATTGCATGGTCTGTGAGTGCGTGGGCCGCTGCGTTTGTGATGTAGAGCTGGACGGAGGCGATGTCTGGGTACGGGTCGCGAGAGGGAGGGTAGGAGGATTGCAGGGTGTTTGGCGGCGGCGCGGGTGGTTGCTCGCCGTTTGACGGTTCGCTTCCTGCTGCTGCTGTCGCTGCTGCAACGTTGGGAAGAAGTTGGAGTTGGAATTGTGTTGTTGTCAGTGGGAGAAGGAATGTGCGGCCGCGAATCTGGAGGCGAGAGGTTGGGGTCAGGGTCAGCTCGATCTGGAAGTCTGCCGGGGATGTGAGCATGTTTGTGAGTGCTTGTGAGGCGTTGGGCCGGTTGGAGGCACCGCCCGACGTGTTTTTCAGCTCGGCGGTCGGGAAGGGAGGGGTGTTGAGGGTGAAGGAGGCGGCATCGACCCCGGCTTGTCGTAGCACGCGGGTGAGGTCGCCGGCGAAACTGGTGACTTGCTCGACGGAGCGGTCGTAGAGAATCTTGGCGATGATGGGTCTGAGGAGGTGGTACTGGTTTTGTGTTTGGTTGCGACGTTGGTGAGGGGGCGTTGGCCGCAGTCGTTGTAGCTCGTTTAGGCGATGAGCGTGGCTGAGGAGGATGTGTAGACCGAGATGTGTTGCTTCGGCAAGGACGTTGTCGGGCGATGCGCCGACGGTGGCGGCGCTATCCTCCAGAGTTTCGAGCTCCAGCGTCAAACTTGGTCCTGAGCTGGGGTGGAAGTTGATGGAGTTGTTATCCGCGCGGACCCCATACGAGGCGAGGGAGTGTGCTTCACGATGAAGCTCATGCCAGAGCTCTTGTGCAAAGATGGTATTGCGGGCTTCGAGGACGCGATCTGGTAGCAAGGCCGAGTCGGGTACGGAGGCCCCAACAGCAAGACGGCCGCTCGGCTCGCCCGATCTGCTTACGGTGATGGCGAGGCGTTGACAGCCGGAACCGACGCGGCCGTGCTGGAGAAGCGCCGAGCCGTCATCTCCGCGTCGCAATGGCGCGAGACTGCTATTCCTGAATTCAGGTGATGCTATGCATGGTCAGCTTTGTCCGATACTCGAGAAGGGGACGGAGTCACCTGCCTTCTGAGAATCCGAATCTGACGCCAAGGGTATGTCGTTCCGCAGGCAGCCTGCACATAGACCATCCCGCCTGGTGTACTGACAGCACCTCGCCCCAATACTTTGCTTCACGCTCCACTTCCCTGCTCAAGTGGGTTGCCGCTTTGTCGGCCGACTCCTTTGTCTTCTCGATGTCGAGCAAAGCCAAACCCAGAGACACGTCGCGGTTGTCTTTTGCCTTCTCGGCATCCCTTTGCTTCTGTTCTTCGTTGTCTTCGCGCTTCGCAATACCGAGGGTTCCTATGCCGGTCCAGTCGCGCAATTGCTGAGAGAGTGTGACACCTGCCTGAGCAGGGCTTTCTTTCGAGAGTAATAATGAGACGAAGTCGAGAGTCATTAAAGCCGCGTTTTGCGCGGTACTGACGACGCACTGTTAGCCAAGAATTTCCGGGGAAATGACGTTTCTCTGGGAGTACCAACTCAATATTCCTCAGCACTTCCATCCTCGCGGCGCCGGCATCTGGTGGTTCCTCGTCCTCCTCGTCTCCCTCGGCCATTGTCGTGTCTTCCTCCTTCACCTCGCCGACGCCATTTTTCTTATTCTCGACCTCCTCCTTTAGACTTTCCTCGGTGACGTTTCGGAAGCCACGCTCCGCCTGTACGCGGGCAATGAACTCGCCGAGGCTCTTTGGTTTGCGATCGCCTGTGGGTACGGGGTGGAGGGAAGAGAAGGGCATGGAGCTGCCCGACGCCATGGCGGGCAATTCGGGGTCGCGCGTCGATCTTGAATGGGTGTGTTCAGAGATTCGAAGGCTGTGGAATCAGGAAACTATAATGCGCAGGACGGCTGCATGGCGTGGAAGGGAATTTGCGTCGCGGATGGTGGTAAGGCTGTAGTGCGAGGCTGGTGGTTGAATGAGAGCAAGAGCTATGGATTGGTTGGAGCCACCGAGCCGGTCCAAGCTCCACCGAGCGACCACAGGGTGCGCATTTTCGGTGAAGCTACCAACTCACCGAACATGACCGAGTTTAACTCACTGCCAGTTAACCGTGTCGGCCACACCTCTCGAATCTAAATCACACTCAAAGAAAAAAAATCCATAGTCTCCTGATTCAGCTACAAATTACACTTAGTGGGATGCGCAAAGGTCTAAGGTGCCTGATGTCATAGCATAGGCTTGCGAGCAGTCATGAGAATACTCATTGTCATCGCTGAGTCTAAGAGAGAACTGATCGGACAAAGGGACCTCGGAATCTCATGGCAGATTCATTGCATAGTAATTAGTCTGTAGGTATACGACGGGAAGATCGGAAGCAGGTCATCTCGGCATTCCTGCGCGACCGTGGTTCGGCTTTCTCGGGGGTGATCCAACTGATCTGGAAGCTTAACTCAGATATCGCTGCCAAATAGAGACGCTTCATCGAGGACTCTAGCATGACTTGTGCTGTGTAAGTGTGTGCGATCACCGTCGACTCAGTCTGATTGACGACCGGCAATTCTGAGTCGACGAACACGACGATGAGGCTTAACTCAATGCGGGCCATGCCGAACCGGCAACTCCACACCTGATGACGTCCAGCTCACAATGTTCAGGGCTGGAAAACATCAAAGTGAAGTGAAGTTGGTCTTGCGTGATTCCGGATTGTTTACAGCTCAAAGTCCTCATGATCTTACCACGTATTCAGCGGTGACGTTGGTCGCGATGGTAGAAATGCAAGGTTCGGCGGAAGTGCTGAATAATGAGGCCGAGATATCTCGAGTTCGCCTTGATGATATCGTGATGTCTGATTGCACCACTTTGGATGAGCATAGATATCGGACGACTTATGAGTTGATATGTTGATCTGAAAGATTCACCGTCGCCGTCGCCGGGACTTCGGAGGTTAATCCTTGCATCCCTGTGAGAGACGGGACCTCCACTGTGAACGAGTCACTGGCTGATGGACCGACTGACGAAAGTCATGAATGTAGTTTGGGTGTTCACATAGAGCTAGAGGCACAGGCGCGCAGCCTAGATAAAGCAGCATGAAGCGCTCTTACGAGGAAGCGGGCATATGGGGAATGGGCCAGCTATGTCTAGACCATGACATGCGATAGTATGTTTCTCTGCGCAGTATTGTGTTGTTGATTTTAATAAAAAGAGGCGTGCAGACATACCAGCACCGACCTCATGGATTGCCTGACATTCTCATCGAGTTCTTGCACCGGCCGTCGGCCAGCCCCGCACTGGAGCTTGATGGAGGGGCAATTGGAAAGGATCCATTGGTAAGTTGGTGCAAGTCTGGACCTGGCAACTGAGGTGGATTTTGGTGCGACTTGTGCAAGGAGCCCAGAATAAGCCCGAGATGGGACGCTGGAAGAGGCCGACTGAACCTTGCTTGGTGGTTTAAACCCCTCACCGGCGACCGGAGTAAGAGCGAGAAAAAAACACACGAAGGAGACCAGTCACCAGTCAGTCGACGGATTGAGACTCCAGTTGCAATATTCCCAGTATTTCCCTCACTCACCAATGGGTGTAGCGCGAAATAGCTTGACACACTGCTATTGTCGCAGCAAATGAGCGATTAAGCCAGCCATCCAGAGTTAGGTGGACAGACAGCACCATTGTAGACGGTTGCGGTTGGAGAAGCTTCTGCAACACATCGCTGATCGACTACCCGCAGCAGGTTCAGCTGAAGAAACACGTCGAGTAAGTAATACCTAGGTAGTCCACTGTGACCGGGCTGGCCAGTAAGACCGTTGCATCGTTCCTGATTCAGCAACGTGAACGGTTTTCCATAGGCTCGCTGTGACACCGGTGCCCTGCTCCTGTGACGATGCTGTGCGGCCTCTGCGGCTTTTGGACTGTTTTATTTCTGTGAGGTGGGCTTGGCTGACCTGAAGCTCCCCCGCGCCAAGATAAGGAGCCGATAAGAGCTGGGCGGGCTGTTTTGGAGGGCACTCAACGTCACTGCGCGGGCTCGCTGTTGGGGGAAGATGGAGGGGTCGAATCATGGGTGGATTACCTCGAGGTAAGTACCAGGTAGGGAACCTACGTTTGGTGAGCTGAGGTCCAGTGAGGTAAGGTAACTTTCCAGGTTAAGGCATCTGACCCCCCGTTCCGAGTGTGATTTTTCTGCTATTTTTTCGAGGTGCGGGTGCTTCAAAGTGGCTCCGGCGAACTTGGTCCCCCGCCATTAAACCTGTCTGGTCGTCTTTTGCGCAGTGCGAAGCGTGAGGTGTCCCACGCTATAATTATCTGGCACACCAGACGGCCTTTTTTTCTGCGGCGTCCCCCTCCAAGCCCGGCCAAGTGTGTCTCGCAGCTTCCCCCCTCGACCTATTCCTGTTCCACGTCCAAGCTCCAACCACCACACAGCTTCTTCCAAGCACTTGGCGCCTGCCTCGTCTCGCCTGGAACTTCATGATCTTTTCCTCTCTCACTCTCCCTCCCTCCTCCATCTTCTCTGCCTCACATTCCTATTGCCTCTCCCTCCCTGATTCCGCACACGGCCGGCTAGCTCGTACCATCATCCCTTGAACATCTTACCTCCAGCTCCGTAGAGTATCCCCTCCACGCCAAATTCGACCGACGGACCTTTAGACCCTGTATACGGTCACCTCCGCCCTCCTCCGCCTCCCTCCCCCCATTGACTCCGAGGCCTCGACAACCTACGAACATCACCACCACAGCTACTCTCCGCCGCAGCCATGGCTCCCACAGCTGCCAAGAAGAAGATTGCCATCATGACCTCGGGAGGTGACTCCCCAGGCATGAACGGCGTCGTCCGCGCCGTAGTCCGAACCGCGCTTCACATGGGATGTGAACCCTACTGCATCTACGACGGATACGAAGGCTTGGTAGTAGGCGGAGACCAGATCAAAAAGGCGGAATGGGGTGATGTGCGCAACTATCTTGGCCAGGGCGGTACTCTGATTGGAACCCGCCGCTGCATGGCCTTTTACGAACGACCCGGTCGTTTGACTGCTGCCAAGAACATGATTCTCAACGGAATTGATGCCTTGATTATTTGCGGTGGTGACGGTTCCCTCACTGGTGCTGACAAGTTCCGCGCCGAATGGCCTTCCTTGATTGAGGAGCTCGTCTCCTCCGGCCAGCTCAAGAAGGAGCAGGTTGACCCCTACAGACACCTCAACATTGTTGGTTTGGTTGGATCAATCGACAATGACATGTCAGGCACCGATGCCACCATTGGATGTTACTCTGCCCTCGAGCGCATCTGCGAAATGGTCGACTACATTGAAGCCACGGCCTCGTCCCATTCGAGAGCTTTCGTTATCGAGGTGATGGGCCGCCATTGCGGCTGGCTAGCTCTCATGGCCGGCGTTGCGACAGGTGCCGACTTTATCTTCATCCCTGAAAAGCCTAGGGAGGAGAACTGGGAGGAAGAAATGTGTGATATTGTGAAGAGAGTAAGACCAGAAAACCTAGCACTAATAGTAGTCAAGACGACGCTGACAGGATGTAGCACCGAAGCTTTGGAAAGCGCAAGACCATCGTCATCATTGCCGAGGGCGCCAACGACAGCAACGGCAAGAAGATCACATCCGAAATGGTCAAGGACCTGCTCGCAGACAAGAACGGGCTTGCTCTGGACACCCGCATCACAACCCTCGGTCACGTTCAGCGTGGCGGTACGGCCGTCGCCTACGACAGAATGCTGGCTACCCTCCAAGGTGTAGAGGCCGTCAAGGCCGTTCTGGAAGCCACTCCCGAGACCGAGACCTGCTTCATCGCCATCAACGAAAACCAAATCTGCCGCAAGCCACTGATGCAGGCTGTCAAGGATACCAAGGAGGTTGCAAAGGCGGTTGACGAGAAGCAGTTCGAAAAGGCAATGGGCCTCCGTGACACTGAGTTTGCCGAGATGTTCAGCTCTTACATGATGACCACAAACGTCAGAGTGGATGACCACCATCTGCCGGAGAAGGAGGTTTGTCAATTGAGCTTCGATTACAAGAGAAAACGGGAAACTAACAATTTCGCAGAGAATGAAGATTGGCTTCATCAATGTTGGCGCACCTGCTGGTGGTATGAACGCTGCTGTGCGCGCTGGTGTTGCTTACTGTCTTTCGCGCGGCCATGAACCCGTCGCCATTCACAATGGCTTTGCCGGATTCGCTAGGCATCATGGCGATAAGCCCGTCGGTGCCGTGCGACCTTTCGACTGGCTTGAGGTTGACAGCTGGGCCAGCAAGGGAGGATCGGAAATCGGTACCAACCGAGAACTTCCTGCAGAGTCGGGCATGGAGCTCATTGCCAATCTGATTGAAAAGTACGAGTTTGATGGCTTGTTCCTCGTCGGTGGCTTCGAAGCCTATCACGCCGTTTCGCAACTGCGCAAGGCCAGAGAGCTCTACCCCTCTCTGTGCATTCCAATGGTTCTCCTGCCAGCTACGATTTCCAACAACGTTCCTGGATCAGAATACTCTCTTGGCTCCGATACTTGCTTGAACGAGCTTGTGCAGTACTGCGACAAGATTAAGCAGTCCGCTTCCGCCACGCGTCGCCGTGTGTTTGTCGTTGAGACACAAGGTGGCAAGTCTGGATACATCGCGACTCTTGCCGGTCTCAGCGTCGGCGCGAGCGCTGTTTACACGCCAGAGGAGGGCATGGACCTCGAGATGCTGGCCGCTGACGTTCGCCATCTCCGCGAAATTTTCTCCAAGGATAAGGGCCAGTCGTCATCTGGACGCTTGATCCTCATCAACGAGAAGGCTGACGATGTGTTCAACGCCAAGCTCATCGCAGACATCATCCGCAAGGAGGCACGCGGCCGATTCGAATCTCGCGACAGTATCCCCGGCCACGTCCAGCAGGGTGGCGTTCCTTCGCCCATGGACAGATGTCGTGCCGTCAGACTGGCGATCAAGTGCATGCAGCACCTCGAGGAGTTCCGTCCCAAGTCGCATAACAGGTGTAAGAGGGACCCCATGAGCGCCTCTGTCATTGGTATCAAGGGTGCCAGCGTCACATTTACGCCCATTTGGGATCTCGAGGACCACGAGACGGATTGGAAGAACCGTCGGCCCAAGAACGTTCACTGGGCGCACATGGGCGATGTGGTCAACATGTTGTCCGGCAGACCTCTCCACCACACACCGGAGAAGCCAATCACCGGCCTCAAGGCAAAGGACGTCAAGAGAGGCCTCGACGATTGAGAGTCACCGCAAGAGGCAATTGGCAAGGTGCAAGCGAATAAGCGCTACTTTAATACAAGGAGAAAAAACTAAATACAATGGGAAAGGAAAGGGTGCTACTTGATTCAAGCTGGGGAGATGTGGCGCGTCGGGGTTTGGCTTTGATTATTAGCTAGGGAAACTTGACGAAATGCATTTTCTATTAGACTAGACGATATCGCTTCCCTCTCCCCGCACTGCATGGCCCGTGAGACTGGCTGGAGTGGGATTTTGAACTTTTCCGTCTTCAAGGTGACCCGGTCGTCAGGCCCTCTCGACCTTGTAACCTTGCTACCGTGGTAAAGCGAAAGAGTATCGAACCCGTTTCGGGGCAACATCTCCGACCCTAGGAACCGTGGTCTAGAACCTCACAGCCGTCCAGACTCTAGTCACTAGTAATAGTCTCAACGGCCGCACATCCCAAGTCCGATGCGTGGAGAATCAGTCCGAGAGATTGTGGGTGCCGTGCGGGTACAGGTGAAAGCGTACTCCATGCTTCGTACGGATAGATAGGTACAAAACGATAATTGTTCATAGACAAAACGGGATTATGGATGGCGAACGGATATGGCTCGGTTCGGACGAACTATGAGCCCTTTTCATCCGCACTTCTCGTCCCATTTCCCATGTGTCCCCCCATGCTCTCGGATCCCGGAACCTGGAAGCCTCGCAATGGCGAACTTTCAAGATGTGTGTTGAATCCTGCGAGTGGTTTCTTCATCGAGCCAGTTACGTACTGATCGAGGTTTGGCTCACGGGCGATCTTGGGTCATGATAGCCTATCTATCCAGCTTACCTTTAATCCGAACACAGTCCGAATCGTCATCTCAAAGAACCCTTGATCTCCCGGAGCCGGGGGAAACCAGGTTATACACCGTTGTAGGCTACGGGTTAACGTTGGCCACATGGCGACGGGAGTCAATGGCCCGAGGCTCCAATGGACCTCACTCACAGTCTCACGCACACCTCCCCCCCCCCCTTGGGAAACGAACGAGGGGAAATCCTTCCCGTTTGGAAAGTGGCTGAAATCCGGATGGCACAATAGATAAGCTTACCTGGGTAAGTTAGTGAATGCTGCGCTGGGCTGATGTCAGAAGAAGAGTGACAAGGGGCGGTTGGTATTGATGTGATGTGAAGTGGTTTCACTGGCCCCTTATTCAATGAGCAACAATCAGCCGCTGCTGAGCGCGTAGCGGTCCATCTCTGACCATGGAATTGCCAAAGTGGTCAGAGGAGTTTCCGGTTTTCAGTCAGAATAGACGAGAACGCTGAGGATCTGGAGGTGAGCAAAAAGAAGCAAAGATTGTCTCTACTTCGCCCCTCTCACCAGTGAACAATCAGGCTCTCTGCGGCTGAAGGATTCGGATTGGGGGCCGTTGATTACTAGGCGCGAGGAGATATGTGGCCAAATTGTCTGTGCCTTTCGTATGGGCAACTCCGGGACTCAGCGGAATGATTTTCCCCCGTCTCGAATTCCAGCCTCAAACTAGAAACCAAAGTACCGTCAGAGCCCGAAGGAATGAGATATCGCACGACTGCATGGTCGTAGGCTCGCTCGCCCGCGAGACTAGAGTTGACGATGAAAGCCACAAGGTTTAGGGCGAACCTGGTCGTTCGCGCAGTGGGGAAGGGCCGGCGCTCAGTAAGCACCACCTGCGAGATGTACTGTATGGAGTGGTTGTGGCCCACCCCATCTTAATGTGGTTTCCCCTAAACTCGGAGGAGAGATTTGCGGGCTGGGGTTGCAGCGCAGGCTTTAAGCTCGTTCCAAGGAGGTAAACCGAAGCGAGAGACCATTGGAAAGAAAAAAAAAAAGGCCTTTCTGGCCCCCAACCCTGGGCGATATCCCATGTTTTCGGTCCTTGACTCCTTTTTCATAGCTCACGAGGAGGTTGGTTCTGTTGTGTTGTGCCCCTTGAGAGACTAAGAGAGTTGTAGATCAGCTTCGTCGCCTTTCAGCAAGTGTTCTTTCCAGGGAACGAATTGATGAGCGAGAGGGCATCTTCGAGGTTTGTGCTGACGGCATAGTCCTCAGGCCTAGGCAGCCGCACATGGCCCCCTCCGGATATCTCGTCAACCGCCGTTGTCGTGATCAGCTGTACCTATACGGGCGTTGACATCTTGTTGGCTCTGGATCAAGCAAATTGCAAGCACACCAAGCCCTACCGACAACGCCACAACCGAACTCTTAAAGCCAAACCCATGCGGGCTCTATCACACTTTAGGCTTGGCTGGTATCTTTGTTCAAGTCCCTTGGTCGCGGCATAGGCCTTATTTGTCAATGTATTCTTCATAAGCGTTGCCTGCCTGTCCAATGGCCGGTCTTTACCCCCGAACGCCCCACGCGACTTCCCAGACCGATGGCTGTGTCAGCGACATGGGTAGATCAACAAACGGGCTGAAAATGTCTCTGAGCCAACGAGCTTTCAAGTCGTCCGTGGAGGCAGAACGAAGGGACCCTTTGCCTTGTAGGTTCTTCCGGGGGTCACGCTACTGCAAGTCAGGTTGCTGCGGTTGAGCTTCCCGACTTGGGATTGAAATGCAACTGAGCATCACGGAAGCCCTGTTCAATACATCCCCGCCGGAAAACTGCATGGGGCTGATGGTGATAAACCCAGCGATCCCCGAGTCTGAGCGGCAACCAACTCCTTTGCGTCTCCTTATTTTGCGCGTGTCGACTTTCCACCACGACTATTAGGTCCCGGCCTATCGAGATTACCGAGTCCCTCTTGCGAAGTTGAATCGCGTTTAGCAAGAACTCAGACTTTTCCTAGGATAGTCTTGGCGGTCGTTCGCCGTAGCCGTCTACGTTCACCGGCTTCCATGTGGCATTCTTGTCAATAATGGCGAGATCCTTTGGAATTCTCTTGGGGGTATTGCTCGTCTTGTCCTCCCCAGTATCGTGCCTTACGGCATGGTGGACGGAGCTGAGCCCCCATCTGGCGTTGCAAGACCCTGCGACGGGCGACATCCGGTACACCGCTTGCAATAGTAACTCCACGCCCATCTTGCCAACAGATGGACTCAACATCTTTCTTCTCCAGAGAAAGCCGAGACTTGGCACCTCTATTGCCGCTGCTGGATGGTACGATGTGCCGAAGAAGACGACGATTGTAAGTCTCTTCTGGCTTCACAATGTGAAACGTCGCAACTGACCTCTCCATTCAGGCCTCGATATTCTACCAGGCCGAGGACAACTCCATTGTGAACGGCTACTTCACCTGCAACTTCGATACAGGCCATTACGCCATCAAGGGCGAGTACGTCATCTCCGCAACGGCCGGACTCGACTCCATACACAACCAGACCGGCTTAGCCGTCGAGCTACTGGGTGCGGATGACGGGTATCGTGTCTTCTTCCACGATGAAGCAAAGACAGTCAACGTTTTATCGTACACAACTAAGACCGACTGGAAATTGCAGGGGCCAATTTCGCAGGACCCCGTAGGAGGAATGGCCTTGACATCGGTACACTCGGGGCAGTTCAACATGTCTGTTGTCTTTCCCAGAGACTCAGAGAATATCGAAATATCGAGGTTTTTCAAGGACGAGACGTGGCATCTTGGTCCGTTTTCCCCATTGTTGTTGTGAGTGATTTACATGCTGACCATCGCAAAGCTACACTGCCTCGCCCACTCCTGGGGAACGCAAATGAATCGACGAAAGCAGCCGATATCCACCTCGATTCGACGCTTACTCCGAACTTCACCATGCCGGCTTTCGCAAGTAATCTGACTTCGCTAGGCGCAACGGTGGATAAGGCATATGTACGCAGCATCTTCTACCTGGGATCCGACGCGAAGCTGCATCAAATGTCGAACATCGATTGGCAGTGGAAGCTCATGCCCGACCAGGATGCGCGCCTCTGGCCTGCTGCGGATGTTGCGAGTGGCTCTTTCGCGACAACAAGCAACTTTGACACTAGCGAAGCGTGGATATGGTACCAGTCAAACGGGAGCCTGGTTCAGTTATACCATGCTGAAGATGGTCTTTGGAAACAAGCCGTGGTAGTCCCCAGCTTCAACGCAACAAAGGCTGTCGAAGAGGAGCCCCAGGGAACAGCAACACCTTCAGCTTCATCGACGGCCACAGCGAAACCAGTTGTCTTATCAACAGGAGCTAAGGCTGGCATAGGGATCGGCGTTTCTTGTGGGGTTGTTGCGCTTGCTGGAGGTATCATCCTCCTTCTAGTGCGGAGAAGGCGGCAACGGGCAGCCGAGACCGCCGAGGCAGCTCGTCTGAAGGAAGCCGAAGCTGTTGCTCAAATGGGACCGTACGGCGAAGGCGGAGTGGGCCCATATACGGAATTCGGAAACTTGACGTGGGGTCCCGAGACGCCGAATGAGAAACACGGCACCGAAATACTCGAGGCAGATGCGGTGGATACGACCGCACCGCAAGAACTAGCCAATGGAGGCGAAAGATACGAGCTCGTTGGCGAGGGCCATTGGAGAGAAATGGACGCAACAGGACAAAATAAAGCGAGAAGAAGTATCGGAGGCTGGAGAGAGGCGCAAGAGGCGGCAACAAAGAAGTAACGAAGCCGTGAATAATGAAGCCACGTAGTGATTAACGACCATGATGATTAAAGATTTTATCGAATCGCGCCAAAGGCACTTGCCCGAGGGCAGCTGCAGGTCCAGTGATATTGTGTCAGGGCGTGTCAAATATACATCGATTTTAGCAAGTCGTCTCTCCGTGTCCAATTTGATTGCTGCCGGCTTAGACGACCAAACGATCCCTGCGTGACTCTGGGAGTACCCAAACGCTTGGCCATGTGTCTCGTGGTGCGCAAGCTGGGGCATGAATAATTGAGAAGGTATGCGAACTTGCTAAGATTGGCATCGAGTCGGAAGACCTGAAGTATGTCGAGCTCGATATAGTGAGAGAGTGAACTTCAGTACTCGTAATGATATTCACACAACTCGGGTCCCTTGGGTGCAGCGAACCATGGCGAGCGCATGATGGTCGACGTCCGGGGGATTCAGAGCTTCAGATGGAACTAGAGTATCATGTTCCAACAGTGACTAGTGCCAAGTCAAGACGAAGCTCGCTGCTACCGGAGAAGGGTGGTGTTCAAGGCTGAAGTCGTCCCGAAAAGGCAGAGATGGAATTTGTGGTGTATGAAGACCAGGTCATGTCTCAAGATGGTATGGGAGGCTACTCCATATCGGAGCATCGCGTGGACGGCCCGGATGATGGCATGTCTCTCTCAAGGGTCTTCCGGGACGACGGGACGGTCCAATCAGGGATGGCTGTTCCGGCATGTCTCCAAGGTCCAAATTGAGGGATTGAGGGTAGGAAGCGGGCGAATCAAAGGCGACCTCTCTTGGCTTCCCTTCAGAGTGAGCTTTGGGTGGAAGACTGGGCGAGCATATTCGTAACTACCAGTTAGTCAGACTGTGGAAGTCCTTGGGCGTGAGTGATGGGTCGGTCCTGACGATCAGGCTGTGACTGGAGCAGCGACATCCTGGCACAGTCGGTGAGAGCCGAACCTAAGCCTAACTGCGGAGAATTGACGGGAACTATTTGACGACACATGGCTTAGACTGTTCAGTTGCCGAAATTTTCCTCTGCGGTCAAGGTGTTGATTGGGCGGTAGCTGTTCCCGGATGTTCATTTGCGATGGAGCTCAGGCCTCGAGAAGTTGGTTGTGCTCAATGTAAGGCAGCTCGCAGTTTGCAAGACGAACGGATGCGACGTGATGATGGAAAGTGTCTAGTTGAACTGGGAACATTAGGCATAGAACAGGATGAATTTGTGTTCTAGGGAGAAGGCCCGGCAGTTGTCGGGAATCCATAAGTGGCATCGCATGGGACGGCAAGCACGAATTGCAAGCGATTCTTTCTGTCTTTACAGCTGGTGTCCAAGGAATGTCTTGGCGTAAGAAGGAGAAGCAAAAGTGGGCAGAGGGCGGGGCAGAGCCGACAGAAAGGTCAAGGTAAGGTGAATGGTGAAATCGGCAATGCAGTACATACGGAGTAGTGGAAGGGAAGGAGTGACGGCCGGGGTAGATGCAGGATTGCGTCAGTGCCTTTTCTGGCGATGAGTTTTCAGAGCAGGTGCGAATGTGACGGGGCTGGGCACAGCGGATGGAGGGGGAAAGAGGAGGGGGAGGGGAATGGTCCGAAGGGAAGGTGGGAGGGGAGACACTGGCTGGACGGTACTGCCAAATGCAGGGAAGGCGCGAGCAGCTGTCAAGTTACTGTGTAGACGGAGTCGTCAAGAGCTTTCCCGTCCCCTCTTGCCTTTTGGAAATCCAGAGTGTGCTTGTGACAGTGACATGGTGACTAGTGACGATGACTGGTGGATAGAGGATGGGAAAGAATGATTGGAAAGAAGGAGCGAGAAAAGTTGGACAACAGCCAGTCTAAGCTCCACTTTCCCATCGTCTTAGCTTCGTCTTCCCGCCATCCTTCCACAATTAGGAGCTTTTCCTAACTCTCGCCGTCCCCTGTTTCAACCGGACTTCCCAAGCAATAGCAGAGATACAATATGATCTAAAATCAGGTCTTGGGGGTTCTCAAGCCAACTTCATGCGTACTTTGGCGGCGGACTTGCCAGGGACACAGAGCTCCATCATCCTAAACTTGGGGTGTCATTGAGAGACACGATGGAACGCTGGTGGAAGCAGCCGGACCAGGCTGTCTGTGTGCAATAAAGAGACACCTCAAGGACTGGAAGTGACGGCCTCGACTGGCGTGTCTTCTATCTCGCCTGCCGTACCTTACGGTATCTTAAAGTAAGTAAAGCAAGGTTTCTCGGTTATGAGAGAAGGGCGAGGCAGGAGTTGAGGCCATTTCTATCACATCGATACTTTCCTTACGTACCCAGATTTGACTCCTTCCACAGCGGCCACTCCGGAACATCTAAGCTTCCTCGGGCGGACACTCAAGCTGTAGAAGAGATGCGGGATATCAAGATGCCTCTCGCTGTACGGAGTGGTAAAGTATACTTCCTGCAACCAGCCTGCGAGTCACAAGTCAAGCAGGCAGGCAGTCATTGGGCACCAGAGATCGGTGAGAAACCAGGCGCCCATTTGCCCTCTTCTTGTCAGCCCAATGAATGCCCAGGAAGCAACTCCTCAGCTTAGCTGCACCACTGCCACTGCCAGCGCCCAAGTGGATGCCCCCCGATGCAATCAAGTGGATGATTGACGACTTGACTGAATGAGAAGACGGAACAAGTCCCAAGATCGCCTTTCTCTGCATCTTCCATGCCTTTCCTTCGGCTTACCATCAGCTGCCCGTCATCAATCACCATCTGCTACGGACCTTACCTTACGGATATGCTTCGCCCGTCTCCAGCTGCAAGTCGTAACCTATCGACATCTTTCCGTTTGCTTTTTGTTGGCCCAGCCCAACGTAGCGCAGCCTGCATCGTTGATTCCCGGATCGCTGGAGCCTTGTTCCATTTTCCCCATCTTCTTCCGTTTCTACCTTATTTGACTGGGCATTCTCGACCATCGTCAAGGGCTCGCGATAGGGCACCCATTGTTAACGACGCACATGCAACTCCAAACACAAAGTTTGACATCAGAATATCATAGTCTGTAGAATACTGCCGTCCGCAAACTTTCAAATCCCAAATTCGGCCCAAATTGCCCTAAACTAAATGTATACACGCGGGTCCTAACAGGGCCTCGACACCCTCCGTTCTCTTTGCGACGGCATCCCTACCGTCCCGCTTCCCGCAGCAACATAGACAAAACGTCGGGAATACCCCTGCTCAGTGACAGCGGTTCACCGCGCGGCGCTTGCCCACAGCTGGGACTGGCCTCGACTCGAACTTGACAGACCTCGACCGCTCCCGCTATGTGAAATAAGCCTGTGGTGAGCAAGAACGGCCTTCGTCTCTTGAGCCGGCCAACCCCTCCCATTTCCATTGCTCTCTCCCGTCCCTCTCTTTTCCCCCTCCACTCCCAGTCCCCATCCACCAAGGCCTGAGAGAGATCCCCCACGAACCTCCAAGGACCACACACATACAGCCTGCTGGTGCCGCCCTATATCACCTGTCGGCTGTCTTAATTACATACCACCTTGCCTACTTGCCTACTTACGTCCTACATACATACATACCCGGCTCTCCTACTGTGGTATGACGACGTTGCTCCTACTCTGACTCTTTTCCCTCTCACCTCTCTCTCTTTCTTTCTCACTCACTCACCCCTTCTCTTCACCCCCTCCTCCCCAGCCGGCGCAGCTCTAGGCTCGGCCTCAGATTAAAGTACCTCTTTCACTACCATCCGTCGTGCGTCGCTCAGTCCCAGCGCTTCAAGACACGTTTGGTTCATCCTCTTTCCAGCGTCGCCTTTTCTGTTTGCGCAGGATCTTGGTGTATCGTCTTCTCTAGTGTCGGTAACGCTCACGCTATCACCTGCGCTACACAATCACCACTACACCGGCTTACTACCCCGCCATTCATCCCACCTGTTCAGATAACCTCACAAACAAACACTCACGGACGCCTATCCGTCACACCTCTCCTAAACCGAATAGCCGTTTGCGTTTCGCCAACAAAACATGGCTCACCGGTCCAACGACTTTGAGGAGCGTTTCTACGACGCCCCCCGCCGCCAGCGCGCCGAGAGCCGGGTTGCTTTCGACGAAGTTGATGTTCGTGTGAGGGAGCGCGAGCGTGAGCGAGAAGGTGACCGCCTCCGCTTCCTGCGCGATGAGCGTCCTCCCGAAGCCGGAGCCCTTGTTCTGAGCCGCAGAGAGGTTGAATCAAGAGAGCTGTCACGGCCTCGCGCCCGCAGCCCTAGCCCTGTTTACCGCGAGCGGGTTGTACGCAGAGCCCGCAGCTTGACACCTCCGCACGTTCATCATGAGCAAGAGCTCGAGCGCTCCCGAGTTCGCGTCACCGAGCGCGAGCGAGAGATTCGCAGTCCATCCCGCGGCCCTCCTCCGGAGATGATCCGCGCTCGATACGTTGAGAGGCAGCGCTCACCCTCTCCTCCTCCTCCCCCAGCCAGAGAACGCAGCCGCGTTGGCGTGCGCATCGTCGAGCGTGAGAGGGAAAGAGAGCGGGTTCCCTCCCCCTCGCCCTCACCGCCACCACCACCGCCTCAACCTCAGGTCATTCGTGGCCCCACGATCGAAAGAGAAGTCATTACGCACTACAGAGACATCGATCATGGTGAGTACAAGGACAAACTGCAGGAAATAAGACCCCCGCGAGGTCTAATGCATCCAGGTGTTACCCGCGTGCCCAGCCCGCCGCCTCCCCCTCGTCCCGCTCCTCGCCCCAAGACCCGCACCGAGGAGCGGGAGTTAGATATCGACATCACCACCTCCCGCAGAGGGACCGACATTGACATTCACCGCTCGCAAAGCCGCCACCGATCTCCTAGTAGGGAACGCAGATCCCCCGCTTTCCAGGACAGCAGAGAACTCGTCGTGAGTACCGACCGTCTCCGCATCGACGACCGTCATTACCACAGCGGGTCACGCCGTAGAGCTCACTCTGCGGCCGCACGCACACCCGTCGATGAGGAAGCCGAGTACATCACCTCCAAGATCGACTCACGCGGCAAGATGGGCGAGGCTTGGAACGGTGCAACCAAAGACTGGTCCATTGTCGATGTCCCGCCCGGTACCGAGCGTGTCCGTATGGATGGCGTTGGCGGTGGCTCTGCCGAGGTCACTTGGCAGCGTTACAACGGTGTGAGGCGGGCACAGTTCATTCCCGAACGGGACGGCGCTCCCATTTCGGCGCCGGCCCCACTTCCCGCCGAACCCTCACCACGAGAGTCCCGAGACCGCCTCAGCCTCCAGGTTTATGACCGTGAGACTGAGATCGAAATTGAGAAGACAAAGGACCGCGCCCCGCGCCGCGGACCTCCATCAAAGCGCAACGAGATGTGGACCGAGATCACAAAGGACCTGGTCATTCGTGATGCCATTATTCAGCTTGGATATGATTTCGAGGAGACTGAATACTTTTTCTACATTATGCAATATCTGAAATACGTAAGTTTTTTTTTGCCTCTGATGTTGATACGGTCAGATTACTCACCAAATACAGGATGATGTGCTTGAATTGGTGCAGGTATCTGACGATATCCGCCGCTTCCGCAAGCAGCGCGTCCGCGAATATGAGAGGGAGTGGGTGCATGATGACTGGGACCGCCGGTCTTCTCATCACCATCACCACCGCGGACCAAGCAGCAAGTACGACGATGAGCGAATCTACGAGCGTGAGGTCGTCTACGACAGTCAGCGTCCCCGACGTTATTAAGCATTGCATAAACACAGCGCAAGTGAGCCCAAGGAACATACAAATCGAATACCCAGCCGACATGCGGCAACTTTGAGGGGGGCCCGAGACAGGCACGCCTTACATTTGGATTCGGACTACAGAACATATCATTTTCGGGATGGGATGTGCTGCATTAGAGAAACCGGATCTGCCGGGCGGGCAAATGTGTGTCTTTTTACTTCACTTTTTCCCACTCAACATGTGGGGTTTCTGCCTAGCACCATGTGTAACGATTTATGAATACAACATAGCGGCGGAGAAATAGGGCGGAGTTTAGATTGTATTAGGAGCAAATAACGAACTTATGACTCGAATTCTCTTGACTTTGGCTGCTTCAGTGACTGAAACCTCGCGTTCGATGGTCTCTGGCGCTTCTTGTGGATGTATCTGGCCGGCCCTGCGCAAACTCCCCGTCTGCAGGGCCCGGAGTAGACAAGACGAGCTTGATCAAGTTGAGGAGGTCCCGTTGTCGTTTCATCTGGTCAACACGCCTGAAGCGGGTTTCTCATGTCTCCTCCCGACTTTTGGAGATGGACTGTCGTCAAGGCCTCGGTCAACAACCATCCCTCTCATGGTCTGGACCTTAGGCAATCTGCTACTTCTATGTCCATACACGCAGTATATCGACATGTCTGAAGTCAAGCAGGCAGAAAGAGTGACCCGGTGTCAATCAAATGCCGACTTGACGGATATCCCGTGATAAATTCCACTAGACTAAGCAGCCGAGGCCTTTGTGGCCATTCTCCTGTTCCCTATAAATACACCAGCAGTCAATGCAGCAGATATCTGACCCTTCGAGGCACCTTGGGCGTTCTCGATGTGTTCGTACAAAAGAATCACACAGACTCATGACGCAGAAGCCGGAAATGCCTCATCTAACCCCACTCAACCTCTCCAGATTTACCTCGTCGCCTAGACCTGCGCCCTATACCTCTGTTAGCCTCTTTCTGGGTATTCAGAAGTGAATAGAAGGCTTCGACAGGCGGATAATGAGATATCTGTAGGCGTACTTGGAACATTTCATGAAGTGACTAAAGCTAACTGGGCTTTGGGCTTAGAGAACGGAGTAAGCATACGGCCGCTGTGGGAAAGCTCAAGACCGTTTTTGATCTACTTGGGATATATTTGGCTTCCCGAATCGGTCCGAGGGCACGGAAATCGCTCGAAAAACAAATCTGCTTGGTCTTATACGTTACAGATAGCCGTACTCAATGAGATGGGACGGTCTACTGGGACAATCTTTCGTCTCCCAAGGTGTAAAGCGTAAAGTACTTAAAGCGACAGAGCTACCGTGTCGTCCAAAAGATTGAACGCAGACACCGAGGCTTTGCTGTGTAGCTGATGGATGTAGACTGCGAGAATCTGGAGATAGGCGCTCGAATAGGGGGGCCTGATGCCTTTGACCTTTCTCTAGGCGTAGCCCTTGAAACGTAGCGGCGAACACGAGAAGTATCTCTTCGTCGATCTCTTGTTGCCTTTAGCTAAGTATTCACAGGCGAATGACTATAGTGAGAAGAGTAGGCGACAGGACTTGAGAGACCTGACTCTAGTAGAATGTGGAACGCATGTGTACTTTTTACTGACATCGTCACTTCTTAGTCGCACTAGATCCATCTCATGGATATCGACGTCGAGATGTGCCCGAATTATCCATGACAGCGTACCGTCTCTGTCTGCACGTCTCCTTAGAGATAGCAGGGAATCGGGTCTTTTTATATAGTAACACGTAAACGTGCAGAATGCTACCCATGGTACATACTCTGCAAAGGGCTTTGTTGACGCGAAGGTTGCCTCTCGTACCTTCCTTCGAACGGCGAGAGTGCCCCCTTGACAGAGACTAAGGTATGTCAGATCCAGACGGATGATGTTTCTTCCACGAGAGGATACGTAGACATGAGAAGGCGGTCCTCATTCATTGTTCCTTACCCCCGCGACCATTCCAGGTCACCTCCTTGATTCAAATGTAAGACTGCCCTGAGCGTTCTTTAACAAGTGTGCCACGAGGTGCTCTGTGGCCTCATTCATTGTCATGCACTTGTGTCCGTTGAGTGTATCTGGAGAACTTAAAGGACCTGCTTCCCATTAAGAGAACTAGTTGAGCAGCAGGCACAGAACACCTTGGCACGAGAGACGATTGCATTATTACAGCATCTTATTCATGAACGCCTACCTAGCCCCAATGGGCTACCCGCTGGATCGAGCGCGCGCTCTCCACGTCAACATGAAAATTCCCTTACAGTCCTTCGAAAACCTCGACAACTTTTGACGACACAAGACAAAGCAAATTAGAGTGATATACAGCATCCTCGCCTTTGGGCGGGAGAGGTCCATATGAGTTTAGTCTCATCAGTAGGGTATGAACTCGTAAGAACAAACATTGAAACGACAAGACAACAAGTAAGACATCCGCTGGCGATCGGGTCCTCAGAAGTAGTTCGACATATGTATGTGAACAGATTCTCGCAATGTCACCTGACAGCATAGGTCAGATCGCCCTTTGCAGGGGCGAAATTCACCTAGCAAGGTCAGCTTCATGTCCCGACATCACGGGCATCTCCAAGACACTCACTTGCGAGAACGACTGGCCCGCGTCGACTTGGGCTTCTCCGCCTCAGCAGCAGGAGCAGCCTTCTTGCGACCCTTGGGTGCCGCCTTGGCCTTTTGAGGCGCGGGCTTCTCCTCTTCCTCGGATTCGGGGTTAGTCTCGGGCTCGGCAGCAGAAACCTCCTCCTCGCTCTCCTCCGCCTTCACCTTCTTGGCTGCTTTCTTGGGGGCAGCTTTTTTGACGGCACCACGCTTAGGCTTGGGAGCCTCTTCCGCCTCTTCGGCATCAGACTCTTCCTTCTTAACAGCAGCAGCCTTCTTGGCGGGACCACGCTTGAGCTTGGGAGCCGCTATCGGCTCCCCATCATCGGATTCCTCCTCCTTGATAGCGGACTTGCGAGCACCGCGCTTGGCCTTTGGCTTGGGCTTCTCTTCTTCCTCGTCCTCAGTCTTGGCCTTGGCGGCGGCCTTCTTGGTGCGCTTAGCCTTGGGCTTCTCCTCTTCCACGTCGTCAGCGGCCTTGCGACCGCGCTTCTTACCCTTAGCGGGGGCTTCATCCTCCTGTATTCAGGGGTCAGTATGTAAAGTCGCACATGCAAAGTGGTGAGACTAACATCTTCCTCCTCGCCGTCATCCCAGTCCTTGGGCTTCTTGCCGCGAATGCCGCGCTGGCCGAGCTTGTTCATCCAGGGGTCACCGTTGAAGTCCTCGGCGTCAATATGGCCCTGCTCTATAGCGCTGCGAATCTTGGCCTGAAGATCAGGGTGATCGCTAGACTTGCGTATCAGCGGCGTATTACAGTGGAGAGAGAGTGATTAGGAAGGAATGCAGGCTGACCCCATCTCATCATAGCCGTCAAAGGCGTCAAAGTCGAACTTTCCGTTCCTCTCACAAAGCTCCCGGACGTGCTGCATCTGCTCTCCAGAAACACATCCCCTTGAATCGACCATGTTAGCAAATTGTGCTCTTTCCGCCTTGAGAGTTGTGTGGCGGATGGGAGAGTGAATTATAACCAAGGAAGGGAAAAGGGGCCAACATACCAATGCTTCCACTTGAAGGACTCATGATCCATAATCTTGGTCCATGTGCCGAAGCGAAGGGAACCTTTCAAGCATTTGGCCGCGGCCTTCTTGCACACGCCATCGGTGCATCCGGCGCGGTTATTGGGCGAGACCTCTGCATTGGAAGAAAATTGAGTATTAGTTTGCGTATATGTGCGGGTTTTACGCGGGCTTGGAGTGACGTTTGAGATGGGAGTCTCGGTCGCCTATGACGTGAGGTCGAAATTTGGACGCGTCGCCGGGTGTCCGCCAGACGCGACCGTAGCTCCAGACAAGCTGCTAAATCGAATGTAAGGATCACAATAGATTGGAAACTTACCAATGCGGTAGTCAGGCATTTTGACGATAGGTTTGAAGAGCGATTGAATATGGAAAAGTGTACTCTCGAAGAAAGTGAAAAGAGTGAACGGAGGTGTCTGGAAGAAGAAGAAATGAGAGGGAGGTGAGGTGGTTAATGCCAGATTTGGGAAGAAGCACCTCAAGCTGTCCGAGGAAGGGAAAGAACAGAGGAGTGACGTTGGTTGAGAGGTGGGCAGTGACAATTTCTCCCGTCTTCTGCCTGCCGGGCCCATTTTAGCTGCCCAAAGCTCCTGTGCTTCAGTGCGTCTGTTCACTTAAACCCCTGTGCGGGAACCTAATCGCAGCTAGGCAGCGGCCCTGAACTATTCCAGCTTGGAGAGCTTCGCATGACCCGAACACGTGGTGGCCGATAAGACGACGGCATGGAATGCAAACGAACTGTCCCATTTATGAAAAGAGACACCAACACTTCAGATAGATAACCCCCTCAGTGAGAGAGTGAGAGAGAGGACAGAAATTGATTTTGAGACTACTCTTAAAACAATGTTTGAAAGAAAGTGGAATAAATAGGTACAGTAAACGCCACACATGCTATCATCTACATTCGTTGCACCACCGCCAACACCAATGTCCGCTCAAACCTCCACAGTCATGCCTCTGAGCATCCATCGACGCCGATTCTAGCCCGTAATGATACCCTCTCATACACCTTTCCCCGAAGACCCAAACTCACAAGAATGGGCACCATCCGATATACATGGCCGCCAGGTTTCTCGGATCAGCAGCCTGCTTGATTAATTCCTCTACCTGGCCCTCCACCCCCAACGGGATCGTGTCCTGACCCATCAGCCCCTTAACTTTGCGCTTGATGCTGTCAACAACAAGCTGCGGCTGCATCCTAGGCGCCCCGTCCTGCCGACGGCTCGTCTTCTTCTCCTTTTGTAGATCCAGCGTGGGATCGTAAATAAACGCCTCAAGAATCGTCATCAGCGTCTCCTCCTGCTGTCGCAAAATCCCCAAGGTCAGCTCGCTGCAGTGCCGGAAGGGACCCTCGTATCCGTAGATACCCATTGCCGCCACCATATTGTGCGTCAGGCGGAACGGCACCTTCTCTGGCTGCGCAAACGTCAAGCCCTTGTCGAAGAGGCAGTTGAAGTCCACGTGGAAGATGCCGCCATTATCGCGCTCCAGCAAGACGTTCTCACCGTGTCGGTCGCCAAGTCCTAGGATTGTACCCACCATCGACATGACGGCGCAGGACCGGGTGTACTTGAGCCGCGCAGAGAACCAAGTCGAAGGGTGAGGGAAACGCTGGACGAACCAGTGCTGCAGCACGGGCGGGAACGTGCCCAAAACGCCTTCGGTGAACATCTTGATGTTGTTCGGTCCCGTCACCGCCTCAGCCATCATCCGCTTGATCTGATTGTAGTCGGGGTGTACCTGGCGGGATTTATACTGATCCAAGAGAATCTCGCGCAGTGTCTTCAGCCCATCAACCCATTCGATGATACCGCACTCCTCGTTCAGAGGCACGACAGCATACGTTTTAATGTACAACTGGCGTCTGCTAGCCTCAGGATCTCGCTTCAGCGATCTGTTGATCATGCTGTTGAACTCCATCAGACGCTGGTCGGTGCGTAGATCATCCTTGGGTTTGATCATAAGCATGTAGCTCTTTCCGTCCGTTCCGCGTGCGGTCAGTCGGCGCGGCTTGGCCAAAGATCCCAGAACCAGTACCTCGTCCAGGAAGGAGTCGATGGTAATGACGTCTCGCGAGAACGCCTTGTGGGTTTTGACATTGTCAGTCAGTGTCGGCAAGGCAGCCGTCAGACACGACTCGATGGGCACCACCAGAGGGCAAGGGGTGCACTTGTGGTTGAAGTTTAGATCGCGCGTGATGCTCGCTACGGTCGTCCTGTTGCTTTGGAAATCGCCGTTGTTGCAAGCCAATAGGAGTTGCTCTGCGAGCTTCTCACCCATCCTCAAGAGCTGCCTGAGCTCATAGTTGCTCCCGTCAACTTTCTTGGTGACTCCCTTCAAGGCCTGCAAGATTTGTTGACCCCTTACCCGACGTTCTGAGGTTTGTCTCGTTGTCATGATTCCAAATAGACTCCAAAGAGCTTGCCGAGGGTGGGATTGCACAACCTTGATGACTATATTCGTCAAACGCTCATAGACATCTTTGTTTTGATGAGCGATTCTTGCGACAACTTGTGGAAGTGCCGTGTAGAATATGTATGCTGGTAATCGGGCTATGGACTTGTCGAGGAACCGGTGAAGGAGGTTCAACTGATCCGTTCGCCTCCTATGGAGCTCACGAGACAGTGAAACCTTGCCTTCGGGGGCCTTGTCAACTTGCGCTCCGAACTCAAGCCACAGTGTAAGAATTCTTGGCATGGTCTGGTAGAGATATTTGGTGCCGTAGTTTAAAGACCGAAGGTAATTTTCGACGACGAGCCTGGTGTATTCGCCCTGAATGCAGGGGTCGGTTTGATCGTCTGCCTTGAGCGTCTTCTCAGATTCCAGTACCTTCTTGTAGTATCGCCCCAGGTAGTAGTGGCCCTTTTCCCAGGCGCTAGCTGTGAGAGGGGGTTGTTGATATTTCTCACGCAGTGTCAGATGGTTGGTCTGACCGGCAGCATCTAGCCATTTGGCGAGCATCAGTTGAGCCCTGGCCGTCAATTGCCTTTGCTGAGCATCCATGCCACGAATAGAAGAGGAACTGTTGGTCTGCGTCATGAAGTTTTTTGATTCAATGGCTCCTTGCAAAACTTGGATGGCCTTGCGTGTGTGGCCATCCTTCCACAGAAGCCGAGCATTCTCAATGACCGCAGCTCCGTCGCCAAGTTGGGAAGCATGTAGCACGGCATTGAACGATTGGTGGGTTGAATTGGCTTTCCTGGCCAACCGAGCGCTTGAGAGCCACAACGAAGATATGTCAAGATCGGAAAACTTGGGCCTTTGAAATGTTAGCTTAGGTTTGCTGCAAGACAAATACTGCACATGCCTTGAAAGCTCCATGGCTGCTCTGCGGATACCCAACAGGTACTGCTTATCGCCCACGTACGCCCCAAGAACCTCAAGGCGACGGTTGAGCATCGTTAGAACCTCCTGGTGTGCATCGCCCTCCGAAGCTTGAGTTCCAGCAATGATCTCGAGGTCAGTAAGGACATGGCACCTAAGTCGTAGGTCGTGGCAAGCCTGCAAAGATGATGTTGCCACGTGTGTCATGGCGGAGGCGATCTTCTCTCTCATACTCTGCAGCATTTCGGGGAATGTATCGCTGCCGGCCCCCCTTCTCTGTAGAGCGTTAAATAGCTTGGCGATGCCGACGTTGAAGTCTTCCAGAGGGCTGCCATGGAATCGAGCAGTATACTTGTTCAAAGTATCCCATCTCCTCGTAGCCCACGCTGCTTCAACTGCGTACGGAACAATCTTGTTTTCTGTCGAAGGCTCTGTTCGCATGCCTTCGACATAATTGAGCAAAACATCTGACTATGTCAGCACTTGTGCGCCACCCGTGGTTTGGTAACATGTTCTCTTACCGTGTTGGCCGGACTGCTTTAGACAATTTAGCAAATCAATCTGCACATCAATATTATCAGGCTCTTCTGCCAGCTTAATTTCGTACCAAGTTTGAGCTGCGGTATATCTGCCTGCCTTCTTGTGACTGAGAATCTGCTGATTGATATCCAAAACGTGCAGATGAGCGGAAATTCCTTCTAGCCCGTCAGGTTCGTCAATCTGGGTATAGATATCCTGCAGCTGCTCAAGTAGCAAAGTTTTCTGCCTTGGATCGCTGTTCTCAACCTCCATTTGCTGGGCATGCTGCTCGAGGTGAAAGAGCGCGCGGGGGTACTCTCTACAGTCCATCGCACGTTGAGAGATGAGCACTGGCGGGATGGTGTTGAGCAATTCCTGAACACGTCCTATTGCGGGCAGATCATCGTCATTTTTGCGTCTTGCGTCCTTCTCTTGGAGCCATCTACTCGCGTAGTCGAGAGCTCTGAAGACCGCCTGGTTTTGGTTAGTGACACGACCAACATCTCACGAAATCCTACTCACCTCGCAGTACAGCTTCATATCTTCCCGTTCCGAATAGGGCGCGTCCTCGGCGGGCTGGTGCTGAAGAATGCCAACGAGCTCTCCAATGACGTTGTCTCGATCCTTTCGCGTGCTCCGGTGACCTACAATGACATGAAGCACGAGGTATGGCAGCAGAAACTCAGCAACAGCCAAGTCCTTGACCTTGATAGTGCGACACAATGGTTCGAAGATGAGATCCGCGTGCCCATTTTGCCCCTTACCCAAGAGATCCATGCTGAATGAGCGCATCCAGTTGCCGTAGGGCTTTCCCGGGCGGAAGATAGGATACTCGACTGGGACCACGTTCATAGGTGTCAAAAGATATCTGGAGGTAAGGAAAGGTGTCAAGACAGTGCGGTCACTCTCCGATAGTGTTAGCCATTTTCTGTAGATGACACCACCATCCCGCATTCCGGTTCCTTTCATAGCGAGTGCAGCCTTGATATCCACCCGGTCGAGCAGCTCTTGCATGGCAAAGGAAAGGAAACCTTGGAGTTTGGTGTCTGTAGTGGACAAGAAAGCTTTGACGAGGATCTGTCCCAAGATGAACAACACGAAGTCTGTCGTCTCGTCTGCACTCTCAAAGTTGCTCAAAATGACCATCGACTGTTGCTCTCGCGGTGCTTCCACTCTATTAGAGTCGAGGCAGCCCACCAGGCCAATGCATTGAGTGCAAAGACTGGCAATTTCAAGCTGGTGCATAGCACTATACTTTGCTGCACAGTCTAGCAAAGCTCGTATCAACATTGGTACGACCGGGTCAGGCTGTTGGCTGATGGCTGAAGTCTGGAGGAAGCCTCCACTCTGTCTGAGGTAGACCTCGAGTTCGGTCAGTGCCAGTAATACGACACCCGAGTTCTCGTGAGACGTGCGCTCGGCAAAGAGGGCAAATGCCGTCCTGCTGTCTAGGACTGGACGCGCCGCGTTGAGCTCCTTTTCGACATCTGCCAACTCTGTGATGTGACCCAAAGAAGGTAGCTTGGTGATGTAGTCATTAAGGCTGTCACTGAATTCCGTGATCAACTTCTGGATCAAAGTCTTGGCCATTTGTCGAGAGGATTCACTAAAGAGCGGCCAGTAGTGGCTGATGACGAAGAATGTAGTCTCGATCAAGACCTCGACGTCTTCAGGCTCGAGACATGTAAGCAGAGCCGCCCAGCAAGAGAATGCGGCTTCTCTGAGATCATCCTGAGCGAGGGATGACAGAAGACATGCGGCAATCTAGAACAATTAGTATGAGGCACATATTTAAAGTCAATCATTACTCACCTGTGGGCGTGCAATCCGAACATAGGCTTTGCAATGTCTGATCATCTCCTCCAAGGCACGTATGCAGCGTCTCTGTTCTTCGGCTGGAGGAAAGACAAGTGGCATGTCATTGATAACATCCGCAAGGCGAGCCATGAGACCAAGAATATACGATTGTAAATATCTCCCAATCGTGTTGCCCTTCTTCGGCTTTGACTCTTTGTTTGCGACCATCATCATTGAACAGAAGGATGCCAATGCCTCGATTATCTGGCACGAGTCAGCGAACTGAGTGCTTTTGGCAAGGTGATGTACTCACTCGGGGCTTTCGTGCTTCATCCGCCTCCCCAGCAGCCTTGAAAAGCTCTAGCGCGACCGAACAGACTTCGGATTGCACAAGCTCAACCAAAGTAAATGTCTCTAGGTGAGAAGACACCTCAACGAGCCTAGACATAACAAACTTCTCGATATTCCCAACATCCTGAATGAGCAAAAGCGCAATGATCGAGCCAGCATTGGCCGGGTCCAGGATAGGGACCCATATGTCCCTTTCTCCTCGCGCTTCGGCGATTTTCTGAATCACCTCCTTCTTTTTCATTAATACCAGCCAAGGTAAGGCATGGGACTGGATAAGCAGCAGAAATTCGGTGACGGATATCTGCAACAGATCGGCAATGGCGCGGCAAATTTGCGGCCGAGCCTGCATGTCCTTAACAGCGAAGTATGCAAGGTTCCTCCAAAAGGGTTCAAACAGACGACGCGGTGTCGTGTTCAGGGCAGATGCTAGGTTGAGAATCTGGGAGCATGTCAGCCCTTGTCTATTATGTCAAAAACCGAGAGATCTACCTCGTTGAACGCACATGACGCAATCAGACTGTTGATACTACCGAGGTACTCAAGCAACTTGTGCAGAACAAGATTCAGCTCGTCTCCAGTCACGACCCTGAACCCATTAGTATACCATATATGAACAGATCTAGTCGCTGTAGCTTGAAGTACCTACCGTCCAAGTTGGCCCCAGGCCAGGATCCCGCTTTCATGGAATATGGCTGCATCTTTTTCGGAAGCGGCTTTGAGCAGACTAAGTGCATTTTTTCGGTTGCGAATAATCAGAGTCGGGTCAAGCGACTCAAGATTGTTGTCTCTCAGGAACAAAGGAAGAGCACGTCTGCAATCGGTCAGTTGCTATCATTTGCCAGAGGGTATTTTTGGGTTGAAGCGCAACATACCCAGAAGCGATTCTGAGCTCTCTGATAGAGCTATGCAAGCTTTGCAAACACCATTGGCCCAGAGGAGAGGTTTCGAGGTCAATGAGTTCTGTAACGTCAGCGTGGTTGATAATACGTCTGGCTGAGATCATCGCGACGATCCTCGGGCGCTTTGACTCCTTGAAGTTGGGTAGATGAATGAGCTTCGTAAAGATAGATTGGGCCTCCCTTTTTTCTGCGGCTGTTGTCACATCGAGGGTTCGAGAGCCTCTATATTTATCATCGCAGAACGTGCATCCTATACTGTTATGACTCCCTATGCTTGCACCGCCGTCAACAACTGTTGCCAAGTCCACTGCACAACATATGCGGGCCACCAGGTCGATAGCTCGACACTGATTATTTTCGCTGAGGTCGTTGTACTTGTTCCTATGCATGTGTAAGCTGACAGATCAAACGCAATGAGACAGAGAGACATACAGGAAATTGTGCTCCAGCCCTCCGGCTTCCTCAGCCTCGTCCACTTGACAGACTTCGTAGATACGCTTGATCAACGCTCGGAGTTCAGGAGCCTCTGAAGACACCTTGAGACGCTTCGAAGCGGGTTCTGCATCCTCGGTAGCACGATTTTCTAGACCGAGCTCTTCCACTGCCTGACGCAAGTCGGCGTCGATAAAAGAAGCGGGTTGAGTCTCAGAGTCGAGGGCTTTCGGGACGATAGATCCGGATGTTTGCTTCAGAACTTGAATGGAAAGCTAGAGGTATGTTAGTCGCAGCTCGAAACGGTGTCACGGCTATTACTTACTATGAAATCATGGGCATCGCTAATTGTCGCGAGTGAAGGGATCTCGTACTCCAAAGGGCAGACAATCTTCGGTGCTGTTAGTCTACCGATTTCTCTATCTACGAGCGACGCTTGCGCCAGCCGGATGAGCGCCAGCGAGACCGTCTTCCTCGCTGCCGCGCTCGACTCATTTGTCCCCTGTATCTCTTCGGGATGTGCCGCGAGCTCAGCGCAGAGTACTGCTAGCACAGCGTATGGCTTTTTTAAGTCGAAAAATTTCTTGCCAGGACGTGGCTTATTAGAGAGCAGGTTCAGAGCAATTTTGAGCAAGTCGGCTCGAGGCCTTGGCACAATCGCCTGCCATGCGTTCTGTACAGCACGAAGGGAAAGCAAAGAATCAAGAAGCCACGGTGCCAGCTGAGACAATGTTGGTCGTGACACGAGACTCGGAGTTTTGAAGATTGAGGGGTGCGCCAAGGCCGAAGTCAGCGTCGTTGCTTGATGTATGCACTGAGAGACATGTTGGACGGTATATGTGGTCTGTTGGACAAAGAGGGTGCCAGGCTTTCCTAACAAGAGCTCCAGTGTACCATCCGAAGGCAATGTCATGTTTACAGAAGCGTCTTTTCCGGTTGAACTCGGTGCCATATTTTGCAAGTGGCTTATGAGAGCTGCCAGAGTTAGTGGTTGGATCTTGAGACTGAACTGATGTCCGAAACTCACCCCTACTGGTCTCGCGCAAGTACAGTAACATGGACGGGAGAAGCTTCCACATTGATCCCGTACGAATAACCACGAGAATCACAAATTGGAAGAACCCCTCAAAGTCTCCCGTCAGCTCGAGGCAGCGAGAGTGGCCCAGTAACCGAAGGATCTTTGGGAAGACCCAAATCCAAAGAGGCTCCTCCCCGCGGAAAACGAATTGTTTCCCATCTGTAGTATGGTTCAAGACATTCGGTGTCTCCTCGATTGTGACCTTCAAGAAGTTTATGGCCTTCAGCGCCTCGTTTCGCATGTGATTTCGGTCGGCAAACGGATCGTCGAGCTTGATTCCTTCGAGGACAACGCGGGCGTAGACGTAGATGAGCATATGATTGTGACCCGTCCTCTGCTCGGCAGTCTCTAGCAGTTCAGGCTTGTTTTTGACCTTCTCGATTACGGCAAATAGCCTCTTCAGCTCGGCGTTTTCATCGGATCGCGTGGACTTGGACGAAGCCGAAATATTCTCGACCAATTGTGCGGCAAGCGTAGAGGGAGGCGGCGCGTTGGGAGCGGCAGCGGCAGCCGGCCTGCCATTGTGATTTGCAGCCATGGCTCCGTCCTCATCGTATGGCCAGAGGACGTTAAGCTGGTGCAAAGTCGCAGTCGGCCACTGCTTGAAGGATCATTACCCTCAGGTTGGATGTCCAGAGCTTGACGCGCCTGCGGGGGTGGGCCATCTATTGGATGCGCGCCGGACCAGGCGCGAGGTCACATGTTCAATTAACGTTGCTTATGTAAAGAAGCCTGGCCCGTGCTCTGGCTCCCTGATTCTCAGGATGCCTTCAACTTCAGGGTGACCGTCCATCCTCGCCGTTGAATGGAATGGTTGATGACAGCTTGCGCGCCAACTTGCGCCTTTACCGCCAAGTTCGGCTTCGGGAAGATTTTCAAACATTTCATTGCCTGCATACATGAATGGCGTGATTACAAATGCAATTAGTCGTTCCCCTGCATAAGGGACCTTGGTCTCATCTTGCTGCTTACATCGTTCATACCTTGCTTCAAATATAAGTGATCGCCAACTAATCCTCTCCTAATTCTTCAAAGTTGATCAATCATCCATTCTGGCAGCTCAGGAGTGTTTCGATCGAATCATTGCTCCGTCTACCTTTCATCATGAACATCGCCCTCAAGGACGCAATGCCAGAGGCCCTCCTCGTCCAGGGCGCTCCAAAAAGCCCATCATCGGTCATGGAGATGCTCCCATTGAAGTCACCAGCAAGCACATCGAAGCAAACCACTTCATCGCAGAAGCCCAGTTCCCCTCCAAATGATGAAGTCCCAACAGCAACAGAAGCAGAGCCCCCTCAAGGTTCCCCATCCCGCAACGTCTCCGTAGCAAAGAGCATCACCGTAATCGTCACCCTCGCCGGCATAAACTTCCTCAACACAATGGGCTCCGGCATCCTCATCGCCGCCCTCCCGCGCATAGCCCAAGACGTCGGCCTCGACGAGAGCCTCATTCTCTGGCCCGCCGCCGTTTACAACCTCGCCGCTGGCTGCCTCCTCCTCATCTTTGGCGCCGTCGCCGACGTCGTGGGCGCCAAGCTCATGTGGCTGACGGGAAGCTACCTTTGCGTCGTCTTCACCATCGCCGTCGGCCTGTCCCAGACGGGGATCCAAATTATTCTCTTCCGCACCGCCGTCGGCGTCTCTATTTCAGCATGCTTGCCCACGGCTATGGCGTTTATTACAAAGACTTTCCCCAAGGGCGGATGGCGCAATGTCGCATTTTCGATGAATGGGATTGGGTTCCCGCTGGGGTACGCGCTTGGGCTGGTCCTGGGTGGCATCTTTACCGACACCATCGGTTGGCGTTGGGCGTACTACATGATGGCCGTTATCGACTTTGCTCTGTCGACCCTGGCGGTCTGGTCTCTGCCTTCGATTCACCAGCCGTCTGAGAAGAAGTGGACGCGCCGCTTGGCGGAGGATATCGACTGGATAGGAGCCGTCATCATGAGCGTTGCGCTGGGTTTGTTACTCTATGTGCTGGCGATGACTACTTCTTCGTACACAAAGATTGCTGATCCTACTAACATTGCCCTCCTGACCGTAGCAGTAGCCTTGCTGGTCGCGTTCCCCGTCTGGATGAAACTTCAGACTGAAAGGGGTTGTCCAGCGCTGATACCAAATCGTCTATGGCGGAACGCTGCCTTCACGTCGATATGTGTAAGTGGAATTCCGAGAAGAAAGAATTGACATGCCTCTAACATATCGCCAGGTGTCCATCTTCCTGTGTTGGGCCTCTCTCAACGCGATTCAATACTTCATCATGCTATAGTCAGTGCTGTGTCGCGGAGCCCAAGAATTCCCAATGCTAACACCGTCAAAAAGTTTCCAAAAGGTCCAGGGCATCTCCGCGTTGCAAAGCTCTCTGCGATTCCTGCCTCATGTCGTCATGGGCACTCTCGTCAACATCGCAGCAGCATGGCTCGTCTCACGAATAAAGGTCCAGACTCTGGGCGCCGTATCTGCAGTCATAACAGCCGCGGCGCCGATCCTCATGGCAACAATCAGCCTCGATGGAAATTACTGGTTTGCGCCGTTCTGGGCCATGGTGCTTTCGCCAGTGAATGCTGATGGTGTGTTGACCCGTTTGCCCTTTCCATGGCATGCTTAAAATCTCCAAGATGCTAACCTAAAACCCCCAATAGCCCTCTTCACCGTCTCGAACCTAATCATCTCCGACGCCTTCCCAGCAGACGTGCAATCACTCGCCGGCGGCGTCTTCAGCGAGATCGGGCAGATCGGTAACGCGGTGGGCCTCGCCGTGACTGCAGCCATCGCGGCCTCCGTAACCGAGCACTCGGCTGTCGTTCATGACGATGCCCGGGAGGCGCGCATGGAAGGTTACCGCGCGGCATTCTGGACTATCTTTGCCGCCACGGTTGCGGTGCTCATTATTGTGGTCGGAGGGCTTCGAAAGGGTGGCACGGTCGGGAAGAAGGATGACTAGATGATGCTTCTGCTAGACATTCCTCAGGTACCTAGCGTGGGAATTCCTGGAAAACGGCTGCACTTGGGATTTGGAGGGGGCACCGCCGTTGCCGCCGTCTAATACGGCAATGTATGCATGCCTTGGGCCGACAATCTCTCAAATTAGCAACTTGCGCAGATAAACCTCAGTCATCGTAATGTAAATCCAGGAAAGCAGGCACTTTGGGCCGTCCTGGCAACTTCGTCACGCTTACTGAACGACCTGGAAGGCGGGAAAGAAATAGCAATCACGCGCGGTCAATGCAATGATGCAGCTGTATATGCATCATGAGTACATTCGTGGTGCGACGAGCAATAATTGAACTGCCATTACGATCAATACCTCAATAATTCCTTCGCGTCGACCGGCCAGCTTGGGCAGATGCCCCTTTTAATCCGATGTCGACCCAGCGGAAGGGTTTGAGTTTTTGCGGGAAATCAGACGACTAAACCCAACTGATGGTTGACATGGACAAGCTACTTAAGGTAACTAACAGTTGTCAAGTGATGAGTTGTTCGAAAAAGCCAAGATAAACGGTACGCGGCCCATGCCTTGGCTGAACCCAAGACTTGAGCACTCTTCAAGCGAGCGCCATATTACGTGGCCTGGTGTAGGCAAGTCTGCGCAAAGATTAGTACAAACCCCCAGGGTTTATTGTAATGGTCCCACGATTCTATGGGAATTGAGAGGATCCGGGGCCGATCCCGTGACGAGTTCCTTTGCTTTCGCAGAGACATGGGATTGCTGACGGCATACTGACATTATCGTGAACCGGACCCATTCTTGCCTTATGCCCAGGCTCTAAGATTAATGGGAATGTCAGAGGTGGTTTGATAGAACGTTTGTTTATGACGATCGTTTCGCGGGCCGCGCGAATCCGACTCAATCTGGATTTACTACGTAGAAATGAAAATGGAAACTCGAGGTAGGTAGTTGAAATGCGGTGCTAATGCGACACCCTCCCAGAGACTTCTGAGTTTGATAGCCCCGGCGGTTTATGGTTCTTGGCAGCTTGCGCAGCGGCAACGTCGATCTGGTGGTTTCGTTTCCCCCTCTTGGGCCCTCAGGGCGTAGGTAAACTTGGCTATTACCGTTTACCTCACACACCCTCTTGCGGCATTCAGAGGAAAGCGACGATCAGTTGGAGAAACCGCTCCGATGGTGCATGCACATGCTAGCATGCTGGGCGGCTCCAGACCCTTTTTCTCTGCCTCTCCTTGCAAGGTGATTCTGATAAGGATCAAAGAGTGGTCGCGTGAGAGTGTCTTGTGTCGTGTGCTCATGTGCCACACGTCTAGACCCGTGTTCAAGCCACTATCTCTAAGAAACCTGGATTGGGGTTGCATCTGGCGGTGTTGTCGATGTACCATCAAGTGAAACACTTACCGTACTGTGTAGGTGTGGCTGCGGTGGTGGAGTGTCCAGGCTTTGATTCGTCGACCGGTTTGGACTCGAAAGTACAGCTTCACATGTCTCCTGTATACAAAATAGGCATAGGTATAGCATTGCGGCGACTGGAAGGACTCCATAGTCGTCAAGGTCGACCACAAGAAGTCTAAGCCTTCTCATGCTCCCCGCGAAATGTCCACTTGGTCCTGCGCGACAGCATCATATAGTTACCCAGTCGTCAGGATCAAGTCGAAGCACATAGCGTGCGGTCGTCACCCTTAGAACGGACCGAGACGGCAACAAGAAACATTATTTCCGCAAGGTAAGCCGAGATGAGAAGTGAGGAGAATGGCCAGTGAACAAAGCGTGTGCAAGGAGATGTATCCGTACTTCGTACAGAGTATTCGTAGAAGGTAGGTTGCAAGCAGGTTTTGGATAATAACTGTAGGGCTGCTGGGTGGCCTGGTCGTCATAGTGGATAGGCGGGCTACACGTAGCCCCAGTTAGCAACATGTTGAGGTTTTGGTTGTCTCGCAACCTCTCACACATGAATACTGTCTACAGGTTCTGGGCCGTTGGCACGGGCTGGTTTGCGTAACCTAACCACGTTCGGGGCTGGAGAGACAGAGTGATGTTGGTCATTGGGGGCCGAGGGATCCTGTTGTCCGTCTCTGGATAGCGGAATCCGTTGATGGGTTTCTTTCTTGTGCCCTTTCAGATCGGGGATTTGGCTCGAGTTGGCGCCTTGGTGGGGTAGCGGCGGGGGATCCGTGTCGTCCCGATGGCTGGGCAAGCTGGCTACTGCGCGGAGCACCTCATTCTGCCGTCGTCTCATCACATCCTCGAATGCTGTCAAGGTGTGATGGCGGGATGGCAAGGTGTGGTTCCTGAAGCATGATTTTGATTACCATGTAGAGAGCCCCATATTCTGCCTCTTCCCGCTCTGTCTTGGCTGTAAGTTGTAAGTTATTTGCTGTTGACTGGTGTTACTGGCTCCATGTTTTCTTCCCTTTGGAATATTCCCATTATTGTGAAGCTACCATGGTATCATTGTAGGGACGATGCCTGTCCTGTTCCCAGATGGCTGGCGTGGTGGACTAACCCGAAGTTGCAACCGCAACCGCTATCGCTCCTCCTTCCTGTCGATTACAGGAGAGACATCAGAGTAAGGTACGTACCGA